CCAGACAGACAGAGAGACAGACAGAAAGCGAGAAGTCACCCCCCAGGGGAGATGGTCACGCCGCAATCCCTTCTCCTCCATTCTCCTCTCGGGATCTTGGGCACGCACGCACACGTGCCTGGCATGAGTTTTAAGCCACCGGGTCCGGGACATGAACCGCGGTCGACTACGTGGGAGTCCAGAGACACAGCCGTTACACTAACTGCTGGTCCCGACAAAAAAAGTTGGATGACAGAGGCCGCTCACGGACTGAGATTGACTAGAAGGGACACTGGGAGGTGGGGTCGTCGTTTCTCCACAGTAACCGGTAGGTGGCAGAAGAAGGCGCGCAGACCATGGGTAGGAACCCCGTGTTCCCCAGTGGAGACCTCGGGGCCTTCAGACCTTCGAAGACTTCCAGCAAGAAGGCTTCGTTCCCACCCGGAATCCAAAGTGCTAGCAAACTGAAGGGTCCCCAGATTTTATTTTTTCATGAATGATCTATTCATTCATTCATTTATATAATCCCATTTGTTGTTATTTTTCAATTTGACCAGAACGAGAGAGTGAAAGGGAAAGTGAGAAAGCAAGCCATCAGGCCCGGGACTCGAGCTGCGGTCAGCCATGCGGGAGTGCGTGTCCTTAACCACCACGCCACCTGCTCGCCCCCGAGGTGTTCTTTCTGGAAGGTGTTTAGCTACATAGCGCCTTTGCTAGACCGTTCAGGGCGGTGTAGTTTGGCAGTTCAGGCAGCCGCCTATGCCGTCCCCCTGCGGGGTGACTCTCACTTTCCCTCTCGGGGTCTCTCTCCAGGAATCTATGGCAAAATCTTAATAAAAATAAAACCACATCTGCGCCTCCCCCAAACCAGAAATCTTCCCATTGTCCCCTGCTTCCTCTCCCCACAGCCACTACTTGTTGGCACGGCGGCCTCCGTGTTCCCTCCACGTGTTAGGGGTGTTTGTGATTTTCATGTTCCCACGGGGACGGTCGAGTTTAATGAGTGCCCCCGAATGTGGACGCCAGAATCCCCGGCGACCTTGGGCTCTGCTCTCCGTCCCCGTTTCCACAGACCCGGCCGTCGGACTCTGATGCTGCGCAGGTGTGTGACCGCCCTCCAGCCGGCGGCTCTCGGGGAAGAGTGGGTAGCTTACTTTATTTTAAAAAGATTATTTAATTTTACTTATTCATTCTTTTATTTTAATTTGACCAGAGAGAGACACAGAGAGAAAGTGAGAAAGCAAGCCCCCAGGTCCAGGATTTGAACCATGGTCGGCCATGTGGGAGTGTCCAGCACCTTAGCCACCATGCCACCTGCTGGTCCCCAAGAGTGGGTAGTTTTCACTAAAACACATGGACTTCGGCAGCCCGAAATGACGGGCAGCCCTTAGAAACAGGCCCCTCAGCCCATCAGGGGCTGCACGCAGACCCCTCTGGAAATACCTTCCCCCACCGGCTCCGGGCACCGGGAAGGGCCGCCAGGTCAACGTCCCGGTTCCCACGGGGGACATAAGCTGACCGGGCAGCTCACCGGTCCACGGACACTCACGCCCTCTCAGTCCACACTGAGCACGCGTGATGAGGTACCTGAACTCGCCCGGCAGGAGCCGCGAACTCAGACCAAGCAGCCAGGTACAATGAGGGCCTCCCCGCCGAACGCGCAGTGGCAGCTCAGGGCGGGCCTGACACCCAGCCCGTGCCCACGGCAGGTGGCCTCCTCTGGCAGCTGACCACTGGCATGCTGTTCAGGTAGGGGTGCACTTTTTCATCAAAAACCCTCACTTTCCTATTAAAATGCTTCCTCCGTGGCAAGTTGTTGTGGCTTCTAATTCTGTGACTCAGGAGAGTCTGTCACCTGAGGCCTGGACCCAGAGAACTGAGGATTTCACACAACGCAGCTCAGCCCTCTCGTAACAGAGGGTGCTCCAGGACACTGAGGGGTCTCAAGGTAGTGATACTTTTTTTAAAAAAGAGATGTTTGCTAGAGGGTGTGTGCATACGACAGAAAGACAAGAGACAGCCAGAAATCAACCCCCAGGGGGGCATGGCCACAGCCACGCCTCAGTCCCTTCTCCATTCTCCTCTCGGGATCTTGGGCATGCATGCACATGTGCTGGTGCGTGAGTTTAAGCCACCGGGCCTGGGACTCGAACTGCAGTCAACTACGTGGGAGCCATAGTGGCATAGCCATTATGCCATCTGCTGGTCCCCCTGGAAGGAGTTTCAGGCCACCAGTCTGGGACTCGAATTGTGGTTGACCACATGGGAGTCTAACACTTCAACCACCACGCCACCTGCTGGTCCCCCATTTTTAAAAAATAATGTATTATTATTTTAAGAATTTTAGGGGTCAGCAGGTGGCGTGGTGGTTAAGGGCACTGGAATCCCACATGGCTGACCATGGTTCATGTCCCTGACCAGGCAGCTTGCTTTCTCCCTTTCCTTCTCTCACTCTGTCCCTCTCTGGTAAAAATTTAAAAAGAAATAAATGAATAAAATTAAAATTCTTTTATTATAAGAATTACTTATTTATTGTTAATATTTTTTGAAATTTTGCTACGGGATTATGTGCACTCAACAGAGAGCGAGCGAGAGAGGGCAAGAGAGAAAGCAAGCAAGCCACCAGGCCGACTCAAACCATAGTTGGCCCCATGGGAGTCCAGTACCATAGTAACCTGTTGGCCCCAGAGACCCAGAGAGAAAGTGAGAATCATTCCCCAGGGGGTGACCACACAGCAATCCCTTTTCCTCCACTCTCTTCCTGGGATTTTGGGCGTGCGTGTGTGTACCAGTGTGAGTTTCAGTCCACCAGGTCTGGACACCCATCACGGTTGGCCATGTGGGAACCTAGCGCCCTAACCACCGTGCCATCTGCGGGCCTCTTGGTCAGAACTAATAACACATTTGAGCATCGCCCTTAAACCAAAGCCCTGGCCACTACCCTGGCCACTACCCTGGCCCTCATGAATGCCCGTTAGACTGTGCGACGAGACAGAACAGAACAAAGGGAGGTTGTGGGGAGACGCCAGCACTGGCTCAGGGGCGGCAACGGGGCTCTGCACTCGCTCCCATGGTACTTACCATCGCTGGCTAGCAATGCCCTGGCCTTCCTGGAAGTAAGGCCACCTGCTGATAGCTCCCAGGCAGACAGGAGGGCTGCTATGGGGGTCTCCGTGGGATGTCTACTGCCAGGCTTATGTGAGGACGGAGGCGGGAGCCGAGTGTGTGGAAAGAGAAGCCCGAGGCTGAAACACAGGCCAGGCCCTGGTGGCGTCTCTTACCTCTCATTCCGTCCACTTCTTCCAGACACCTTAACGTAAAGAGCTTGCGTCCCGCGATCTAGCCATTCAACGAACAGACGTGCTCTCAATCGGCAATAAAGACATGTCTAAGATAGTGTGGACGAAAGGCCGCCCAAGTCCATGGGTAAGCACAGCCTTTCAAGGTCTCCCAGTGGGTCCGACCGTCAGTTTATCCCGCACGCGGTCTGGCTCGGTCACCGGAAGCCAGTTCGCTGTGCCCTTACACGAGGCTCTTAGTGTCGTAGGAGGAGGCTCTGCCGAGTGCACAGTCTAAACAGAAAATATGCAAAGGCATGGGTCCACCTGTGACATACCAGGGCTCCACACTACTAGGTAATGCTGCATTTCTTGGTTTTATTCGAAACAGTGCATATTTGTAGCATTTTTACGGTAGGATTTTACACTCGTCATTTACAGAAATTACAAGGTTCTGCTTCAAGTCTTTAAAAAAATTTTTTTTTTTAAAAATTCAGCCCATGTGCAGCACAAGAATATGCAAAACTACTTTACATTATACACACTTTTTATCAAAGGAGATACAAAATTCTGGCTTGTAGTTTTAGACAAATACAAGAAGCTTCAAACTAGACACAAAGGGTTAACATTAATTCTCAAATATAAGTCTGCACTTTGTGTTTCTCTGAGATATGAATACCAAATTCCTAAGGGATTCTGGTTTCCTTTTGCAAGGAAAACGGACAAATTCCCGGTAGACGAGCCCCTCCCCATCAGCGTAAGCTATCTGCCCTCCCTTACTGCCAGACACCTGCACGTCCAAGCAAAGCGGGGTGGCCCAGCTCCTCTGGGGCTCCTCTGCGGCAGAACTCTGGACAGCCGGAAGCCGAGGCCCTTTTGCTGAACGCGATCTAACCCTGGCTAATCTAGTCAACTGTGATCGTAGGCCATTAGTCAAAAGGAGTGAAGAGAAATGTCCCTCTGGATCCAGTTTTGGTTGGCGACAAACTGGAGGCCTTAAGAATCAAGCTGTCTGATGCTAAGAGAACGTCAAAGGCTTTCTACACGGAACACACCCACTGTCTGTTCGAGGGACTGCCCTGAAACTGATGCATAGATCCGCGGGTCAGCATGGAGGAGGCAGCGTGTCCTGTTCTCCACGGCCCCCCCCCTCACAAAAGATGCCGTTTCCTATGGTGTCACTGTTCCCTATCCATCTCTGACCCCATGTGTGCATGCATATGCATACTTAAAGGATACTTAATGCATACACATATTTAAAAGACCCCTTCTTTCACTCAGAGTCAATAGACAGCCAACTCTGATGGTCTACGAGCATGTGAGTGACAACTGGCAGATTGGAGTCCTGACATCGACCGTCACCTGTCTGAGCTGTTGCGCTGTGTTAGACTTCAGCCGGAAGACCGAGGTACAGTGTGTGTGGCACTGTCCCCGAGGCCACCCTCGACCTGTGCAGGGAGACTGAGCGAACCCACTCAGTGGAGCTCTGGGGACGAGGCTGCGTGGCGTGGGGCAGGCTATGGCTCTGAGTGCGGGCACGGTCGGATTCCGAGCTCCTCTGACCCTGTCCTGCCGGGTGCCTTCGTCATCGCTGAGTTATGGTCACCGCAGAATGAGAACCTGAGGCTAGTCCTGTTTACAGAGAAAATGGAGAGTCGACTGTAATCGTGGTTACGACTTTAGCCCTTTCACATAAAACTCACAGGAGAGCATGTGATAAAAAGATTAAAAAGACTGCCGTAGGACATCTAGAAGCATTTATTTTATGCAAAAAAAAAAAACCTTAAATATGATGATGTGTCCACAAAGGTGCACACATACCTATGCTGAACAAGGCCAAGGAACAGAATATATGGATGCAACAGTTGTCAGCTAAAGTAACAGACAGCGAGCCCAGACCAGCGGACGAGAGCGCGCCGATTTCCCGAGAGCACAACGCTAACAGCCGAGAGCAACCCCAGACCTCCGACTTGCCTTCCAAAGCTGCCACAGTCCGACTATTTAAAGAAAAAATTGATTTTTTTTTAAAACATCATTAATAAAAATCTGGTGACAAACATTATAAAACCAAATGCTGGACAGTCTTTACTCCTTTAAAATTCTAAATATTCCGACATAATCGTAGGAGTAAAAACCACTTTAAAGTGATATGCTCTATGAAACAACAATATGTACATTTATTGCAAATTATATTAAACTAAAATGGAGGGGAAATCAAAATATGAAGTGGTTACTACTTGCAAATCAATAATAATTTTAATTATTTTCTCACTCTGATAAAAATCAGACAGCAACATTTATAAAATCGCCACATCACTTTTCATAGCAGGAAACTGGAATCTGTACATCTCATCTTTGCAGAAAAGTAGGCAGGCAGAAAGAATTATACATAAAAGTTTCCAAAAGGAAAAACAAAGAAATATTTCATCTGATCTCTTTTCTTTAAAAAATTAATTCAGTAGACGTCTATTTTTCTCTTGTGTAACATGGGAATTCCTGGCTCTAAAGTGGATGAATCGCAGTGTCGGCGTAAGGACATCCTGTTACTTTCTTTAAAATGAAAACTGCAGCATGGAGACTAATGGTATTCTATGCATCTCAACTCCAGCTCGGCAGGGGCTGGAACCAAGTGTTAAGCAATTTGCTTAATTATTGACTTTTCATAAGAAAAGTCTGGGGGGAGGGTAGGACAGAGTTGCTTTTAGCCTCTCTCAAGAGTTTCTGCTGTACATTTCCAACAAAAGACTGTGGTCATGTGAAAAGAAATAATAGTTTGTTTTTGTTTTTTGTTTTTTTTTGTTTGTTTGTTTTCAGTTTTCAAGGCAGGAAGTGTGTGTTCTAAAGAGAACTTCATTTTCTGTTCAAGAACATTTTGAATCCACATTTTCGTAGAAGCTTCAGCCTGCTTCTGTTTGGCCTTCATTTTCCTCCTTTGCAGATGAGATTTCTCTTTACCTTAGGGAAAGGAGAACACAAAGTTAGAAAAGATGTAGGCAGTACCCAAAGAACCCCCAATGATTTCATTACTTGAGCTGTTACTTACACTCTTACTTTTTTCCCCCTTTCTTTTCTTGGCGCACGTGCGCGCGCGCGTGTGTGTGTGTGTGTGTGTGTGTGTGTGTGGTGTGGTGTGGTGTGGTGTGTGTGTGTGTGGTGTGTGTGTGTGTGTGTGGGGTGTGTGTGTGTGTGTGTGTGTGTTTGTGTGTGTGTGTGCGGTGGGGGCTATAGGGCGCTCACTGGGTAAGAGACGGGAGAGTGAGAAATCACCCCCTAAGGGGGACGGTCACACCATACTCCCCTCTCCATTGCCCTCTGGATTTCGGGCATGCACGCACATATGCCATATGTCCATCGTGTTTTTTAAGCCACTGGATGTGGGATTCAAAACTGTAGTTGGCCACATGAGATCCAGTGGCCTTAACTACCACGTCATGTGACTGGTTCATAGAAAAGGTTGAGGATTGTCTTCCTAAACAATGCAAAAACAAAACACCAGTGAAGACCTTTTTGGTCCCAACTATTAAGTACTATTATCAAATTCCCTAGTCTATTACAATGAATTTAAGGTTATTTATTTGAAATAATAGCAATTATTTACTTTCAAAAATATTATTGAAGAAAAATTACTAACAATTATGCCAAAAATTATTTTAATTAATAAATAATTGGGGGTGGCCAGCAGGTGTCATGGTGGCACTGGACACTCTGACATGGGCGATCATGGTTCAAGTCCCAGATCTGGCGGCTTGCTTTCTCACTTTCCCTCTCTCTCTGGTCAAGTGAAAATGAATGAATAAATAAGAGTAAATAAATAATTCTTCAAAAACAGTTTGGGGGAGATATTTTCACCACAGGCACATGTGCTTGCCGGAGAAAAGAGAGAGGGAGAGGGAGAGGGAGGGAGAGGGAGGGAGAGGGAGGGAGAGCGCACGCACATGCAAGAAATCACCTGCCAGGGAGGATGCCCATGACACAATCCCTTCTCGTCCCTCCATTTGGGGATGTGGATACATAAACACACATGCCTGGTATGTTTTCCAAGCCGCCAGGCCAAGACTCAAACTGTGGAGTCAGCACCCTAACCACCATGCAACCTAGTGGCTCGGAAAGATGAATTTATAAGCAACGAATAAGTTCGGACTCCTAGGCTGGGTAAACACAGACGTTTTAGTATACTAAGAAATAAAGTAAATAAGAGAAGGAAAAATTAGTTTAATTCTGTTAAGAAGTCAGGGGGACCAGCAGGTGGCTTGGTGGTTGAGGGTGCTGGACTCCCACGTGGCTGACCGTGGTTCGAGTCCTGGACCTGGCAGCTTTCTCTCTCTCTCTCTCTCTCTCTCCTCTCTCTCTCACACACGCACTCTGTCCTTCTCTGGTCAAATTCAAATAGATAAATAAAGTTAAATTAAATAATCATTAAAAAAAAAAAAAAAAGAAGCCAGGAGAAAGTCCCACCCTCTGATTCCCTAGAGAGGGACATGCTGATCCCGGGAACCACGTGAGTCTGAGGCAGGGTCTTTGCTTTATCGATACATTTCTCAATAATTTTCTGAGGAAGACTATTAACTAGTCTTACTAACGAAGATGAGGTGGTGGAGGTTAAATATGTGTTCTAGTCGAGGTCCAGAGGTGAGCTGAAAACTCAGGTAAAGGTTGTCTCCGATACTGGCATTCAGTTACTAGCTGGTAATGGAAACCAAACGTCAGGAAAAATGAACTCACCATTACTCAGACTAGGGTTGGCCTTCCGGATGATGCCATGAGATGTGGTAAGAGAAATATTCTGAATGCGCTTACTCAAATACTCAGCATTTTTTAAGGTTGATATTAAAAAAAGAATTACTAAATTTTGTTATTATTTTAAAATGTTGCTATAGGTGCACAAAAGAGAGACTTGGAGAGAGGGAGAGTGAGAAAGCAAGCCTCCAGGCCTGGACTTAACCTGTGGGGAGCTGTGGGATTCCAGTGCCTTAAGCACCATGGTACCTGCCGGCTCCTATATTGCACTCTTTTAAATGAATTATTTTATCTAACTTTATTTGTTTTAATTTGCCTAGAGAGAACAAGAGAAAGTGAGAAAGCAAGCTGCCAGGTCTAGGACTTGAACCTTGGTAGGCCATGCGGGAGCCCAGCACCAGTAACCACCACACCACCTGCAGGCCCCTATACTGCACTCTTAAAAAAGGAAACCCAGATGTTAACTAACTCAGGCCTAGAGGAGGCAGGTTTGCAAGGAAAACGGGTCCAGAAGGAAGCTCTGAGCATAGGCTACGTGTAGAAGGAACCACTTTCTGGGCCTTTGCTGGAGGTTACAGCGTGGAGAATCTGAAAACCAGATTGACAGTGCTCAATGATTAGCTGAAGTTTTACTGGGGAAGGTGTGGAAGAGGTAGACTGTTGACCTACATTAGAATGAACTATAACGGGGGACCAGCAGATGGCCTAATGGTTTTGTCACTGAACTCCCATGTAGTTGACTGCAGTTTGAGTCCTGGACCCAGTGGCTTAAAACTCATGCCGGATGTGAGTGAATGTGTGCCCAAAATCCCAAAAGAAGAATAGAGGATAAGGGAGTGTAGCGAGGCCATCCCCCTAGGAGTGATTTCTCACTTTCTATCTCTGTCTCTGCAGCAAGCATATATGCTCTAGAGCAAAAATCTTAAAAAAAAAAAAAAAAAAAAAAAAAAAAAAAAAAAAAAAAAAAAAAAAAAAAAAAAGGGGGGTTGGGAAAAAAAAGAATTAAGTATAACGGGTCAGTTGGTGGTGTGCTGGTTAAGGTGCCTTGATCCCACATTGCTGACTGCATGGTTCAAGTCCCAGACCTGGTCTTGGGAAACAAACCAGGTAGGCATATAGACATGTATGCTCAAAATTCCAAGAGGAAAATGGAGAAGGGACAGAGGTGTGTCATCCGTCATTGGAGATGCTTTGTCACCTCATCAAGTGAGTGCACAAACCCAACAGCAAAATCGAAACAGCCAGAAATGGAGGAAAAAAAAAAAAAAAAAGGAAAGAACTGAGTAAGTTCATAGAATAAGACATACGTGATCAAGTTTCATAATAATTTACTCCATTCCAAGACTTTATGCCCCAAAAGTAGCTTTTATGTTATGTAAATGCAATGAACACATGGGAAGGAAACCAAGTAAAAGGTAATTTCTCCTTGCTGATATGCTGGGGCATGGTGGTTATGGTGCTGGCCACAGCTGGCCCCAGTTTGAGTCCTGGATCTGGAAGCTTGCTTTCTCATTGCCCCCGCCCACTCCTCTGGGGTCATATTAAAAAACAAAGAAATAAATACATAAATAAAATTAAATAAATAATTCTAAAAACAACAAGCACAGATCAAAATACCATATCCTAAACAAAAAGTAACCAACCAAGCAACCAAATAAATAAATAGAAAGAAAAGGAGAGAAAGAAGCTCTTTCTTCAAATTGGTGCTTAAAACTGGGAGGTTATGGGCCAGCAGCTGGCATGGTGGTTAAGGTGCTGACTACCACGTGGCCGACCAGAGTTCAAGTCACAGACACTGGGCTTGCCTTTTCACGTTCTCTCTCTCTCGTACATGCACATGCCCTCCAACACGTTACAAAGAATAATGAATAAAATAAAGTCGGCAATTAATAAACAGAACTGGGAGGTTATAACATGGGCCCCAATGACATGGGGCCTGCGTATGGTGTCCAGTTATATCGCTGACTCCCACATGGCCAACCATGGTTCCAGTCCCAGAGCCAGTGGCGTGTGTGCGTGTGTGCGTGCGTGTGCGCCAAGAATCCTGTGAAGAGAATGGAGGAGAAAGGACTGCGGCATGGCCATCCGCCTGGGGGTGATTTCTCGCTTTCTGTCACTCAGGTGAGCACATGTGCCCACAGCAACAACCTCGCTCTAAGCCAAAGAAAACCAAAATGCCATTTAACCTACTTAGGAACTCAAGAGCAGCTGCGTGTTTGGTGATTAGCACAGACTAGGGGTAAAAGGACACGCCCGAACTCGTCCGGGAAGAGCCACGCCTCACCTCTGTAGGTCAATCTGCCTCTCGGCTGGTGCCGCCTTTTTGGCTCCGTCTTGCAGCTTGGGTGCTTTGGCATTTCCTGGTTCTAAACCTCCAGGGCTCTCCTGACCAGCCACCCTCTTCCTCCCCTTGTTACTGGGCTTGTTTATGTCATCGGTTTTGGCTGCATTGCCCTGAGGTTCCGGCTTCCCTCGGCGGCCTCTCTTGGTTTTGGAAGGGGTGGGTGGCCCTGACTCATCTGTTTTCTCATCTGGTTTCTGCTGGATGTTCTCTGCACCAGCCGCTGTTACGGTTCTCTTCTTCCCTCGATCACTGCTGATGTTTCCCTGGGCAGCTTGATCAGAATTGACCTCCTAAAACAAAGTGAAGACAACTTCATGAACACAAATTCCTTAAATAACAATAATTTGTACTAGAAAAAAAATTTTTTTGCTCTAGGGTGTGTGTGCTCGCCAGAGAGATTAGCAGAGAGAGAGAGAAGTAAGAAATCACCACCAGGGGGATGGCCATGCCGCAATCCCGTCTCCAGCGTCCTCTCAAGATTTTGGGCATGCACACACACGTGCCTTCTGTGATTTTCAAGCTGCCAGGTCAGGGACTTGAACTGTGCAGCTGGCCATGTGGGATCCAGAACCTTAGCTTCCATGCTACCCGCTGACCCCTAAAAGAAAATATTATAAAGGAGTTGGGATTCCAGGGGGCTTCCAGTTAATTGCTTATGTCCTATCAGGTGAGTGCCTTAAAGAACTGGGCCTGGTGCCTACCATGCTGTTTGGCACATGCAATCTGCTGAATAAATTCCTATTAAAAAGCAAAGATAGTTCGCGGGGACCAGCAGGTGGCATGGTGGTTAAGGCACTGGACACTCCCACATGGCTGACCACGGTTCAAGTCCTAGACCTAGTGTCTTGCTTTCTCACTCCCCCCGGCCCCCTCCCCCTCTCTCTGTGTCACTCTCTGGTCAAATTAAAAAATGAATGAATGAATGAATAAATAAATAAATCTTAAGAAAAAAAAAACACACACACACCAAGATAATAGTTCACATAAACTAAGAAAACCTACTCGGTTCTATTGTCATGCCCATTCTCAATAAAAATGGCCTCCTTACTGATGGCATACTCCAAATTTCTTTCTTTCTAAAGGGTACTTTCAGGGACAGCTCCTAGTGAGGAGGTTCAGGTGGCGGATCTCATATGGCTGCCTGTGCAGCTTGAGTCCTGGACCTGGTGACTTAAAAAACATGGCGGGCACATGTATGTGTGCATGCCTAAAATCCTGAGCAACGAATGGAGGAGGAGGGAGTGCAGTGTGGTCATGCCCTGGAGGGTGAGTTCTCACTTTCTCTATCTCACTCCGGCAAGTGCATGCACCGTATAGCAAATACAAAAAACAAAGAGTATTTTCGTAACTCAGTGTACTTTTTTTTTTTTTTGCCACAGGGTGTGTGCTTGCCAGAGAGTGAGAGAGAAGACCTATTTTTTCTACATGATGCATCGAACTATGAAGCTGCAGTTTTGGGCATGAACTTCTCATTCCATTCATCCCTTTTTCAACCTTCTCTTTTTATCGCATCTCTTGTTAACTTGCTACTTTTTTCTCAATCCTTTCTCTTTTTTTTATTGGAGAGGTTTTCACTATCAGGCGCATGCGCTCGCCAGAGAGAGAGAGACAGAGAGAAAGAAAGCGAGAAATCACCCCCCAGGGGGGATGGCTACGCTGCAATCTCTTCTCCTCCATTCTCCTCTTGGAATCTTGGGCACGCACACACATGTGCCCGGCCTGAGTTAAAGCCACTGGGTCTGGGACTCAAACCGTGGTCGATTACATGGGAGTCCAGCGACATACTCATTGCGACAACTGCTGGCCCCTAACATTTTCCTTTTTCCACTCTCTAAAGTATTTAGCATGTATTAAGACATCAGAAATGTGGGGCCAGCAGGTAGTCTGGTGGTTGAGGTGCTGGACTCCCAAACCGTGGACCATGGTTCAATTCCCAGACCTGGGGGTTAGATTTCTTAATTTTCCCTTCTCTATGTCTCTGGATAAGTTAAAAAATAAATAATAACAACAAATAAAATCAAATATATAATTTTAAACAAAAAAGACAAAGGGCCAGCAAGCAGCACGGTGGTTATGGTGCTGGACTTCCACATGGCTGACCACGGTTAGAGTTCCGGACACAGTGGCTTGCTCACTCACTCTCTCTCTCTCTGGTGAAACTGAAAAAGAAAAATAAGTAAAATTAAATAGATATTAAAAGAAGCAGACACTGGGGCCAGCAGGTGGCAGGGTGTTTAAGTGTGCTGGACTCCCACATGGCTGACTGAGGTTTGAGTCCTGGACCTAGCGGCTCACTTCCTTGCTCTCTGTCTCTCTGTCCCTCCCTGGTCAAATTAGAATAAATAAATAAAGTTAAATAAAATAATTTAAAAAAAAACTTAAAAAAAAAAAAAGCAAATGTGTGTTGTTTTTAAAAAATTTAAAATGTGGGACCAGTAGTTAGCATAATGGCTATGTTGCTGAACTCCCATGTAGATGACCGTGGTTCGAGTCCTGGATCCGGTGGCTTAAACTCACGCCGGGTGCGTGTGTGTGTGTGTGCCCAAGATCCCGAGAGGAGAATGGAGGAGAAGGGATTGCGGCGTGACCATCCCCCGGGGAGGGCGATTTCTCACTTTCTGTCTCTCTGTCTTTCTGGGACGCACACGTACCCTATAGCAAAAACCTCTACAAAAAATAAAAAAAATGTATTATTATTCCTATTCTTCTTGAGTTTGACCGAAGGGAGAGAGAGATACAGAGAGCACGTGCGAGTGAGTGAGCAAAGGTCACCAGGCCCAGACTTGAATTGTGTCGGCCACGTGGGAGCCTAGCGTATTAACAACCATACCACCTGGCTGACCGACACTAAGACCTTAAAACTCTCAGTTCATACTGTGTCATGGTGCTAGGGCGGGAAGTATTGGAGAAAGACTCCATTCGGGGTTATCCGCATGAACTCTTGTACAGAGGGGTGGTGTGGGCAGAATCATCCCGGGCAGTGGGAGCACAGTAAGCATTGCAAAGAGGGGAAAATAGATATTACTGTAATGAGAATCTTCATAGAAAAAGCCACTTGCTAAATTTAAAGACGTACCTTATTCTTTACTGGGTCAGTATTTTTCACAGGTGTGACAGAAATAATCCTCACGGGGTTCTCTTCATTTTCACTGACTCCCGTTTCTGCTGTCTCTGAACTCTGCTCCCTGTGGAAGAGTAAAGCAAGGCCTCTTGGTCTCACACACGTGTACAAGGGTGACCACACTGTCTGCGCCACTAAGGAGAGGTCAGGCGAGTGTGGGACCTCCCTCCGGGAAGCCGACAGCACCATGCCAATCTTGGCGGTCACAGGATTACTCTGGTAGACCCGCTACCGACTTCTGTTCAACTTTAACAAAGTAAGACAGAAAGGGCTGCCTACAACCACCTGACAAACCGCCAAGAAATAAATATTTATTCCAAGCATTATCTCATGGGGGGTAGAAAACCCTAAAACAAAAATAAAATGACAGATCGTGCTAGAGTATAATTACTTCCAGCGTTCTTGATGTTTTTCAGGGAGGGGACTATAAGGGGAAGAAGTCACGTGGGGAGTTTTCAAGCGCTTATTGTCTTCTTAAACCACAGTTCCGTGTTAATGCATGTTATATTTTGAAGTTTTACTGCTAAAATGATTTTAATAAACAAACACCACCAGTGGGGCCAGCAGGTGACACAGTGGGTAACATGCATGATTATGTTGCTGGACTCTCATGTAGTCAACCGTGGTTTGAGACCTGGACCCAGTAGCTTGAAACTCAGGCTGGGCACGTGTCCATGCATGCCCAAATCCCAAAAGGAGAATGGTGAGGGGACTGTGGTGTGGTCATCCCCTGAGGGTGGTGATTTCTCACTTTCTCTGGAGAGCGCACGTGCCCTATACCAAAAACGAACAACCAAACAAAAAACGCTGATGGTTAGAGCCAGCAGACGGCACGGAGTTAGGGCAGCTAGATCCCATATGGCTGACTGGGAGGTTCGAGTCCCGGATGTGGAGCTTGTGTGTGTGTGGGACTGTGGCATGGTCGTTCTTCATACAGGTGTGACTTCCCTGTATCAGTCAGTCCTCACTAGGCGCAAGCACGTTTACAGCAAATACTTAAAGATAAATAAATAAAAACCAAAAACCAAGAATGGAAAAACAGCACTGGTTAAATTTACTGTGAAGATTTCATGTGCAAGAAGAAAACCTTTCAAAACATCACTATTGGGACCAGCAGTTGGCGTAATGGCTATGTCGCTGGGCTCCCATGTAGTCGACTGCACGGTTCGAGTCCCAGACCCGGTGGCTTAAACTTAGGCCTGGCACATGTGTGTGCATGCCCATGATCCCGAGAGGAGAAGGGATTGCGGCATGGCCATCCTCCCTGGGGGGTGATTTCTCACTTTCTGTCTTTCTCTGTATTTCTGGCAAGTGCATGCGCCCTATAGCAAAAACCTCTCCAAAATAAGAAAAGAAAAGAAAAAATCAATACTTAAAGTTAGTAAGAGTAAGGCCCAGTGGAAAATCTCAGAGTGCCAAACATTTTTAATGTTTGTGTCAGCATTTACTACGAGTTGAAAATGTTACAACGAAGTTATCTTAACTCATACTATACTAATTTGAGATGAAAATTAGAAAACCTTATTTAAATGGATTATATTGTCATAAGTTTTTGTATAAACCTTCTTACTTATCAAATAAACTTATTTCCACATAAACTAGTTATAATACATTACAAATTCTTACCCCCCCCCCCAATTTTCTTTTTTTCTTTTAAAATTGTACCTGGAAGTGGATGGAGTGAGTGGGGGTGTAGAGAAAGTGAGAAATGACCCCCCCCAATGAGATGTGGCCATGCTGCAATCCTTATTCCTCCATGTGTCCTCCCTTTGGGATTCTGGACACGCACACAAGCACTCATGCCTGGAGTGTTTTAAGCTGCTGGGTCTGGGACCTGGACTTGAACCATGTTGCTGGCCACAGGGGATTCAGAAGCCCTACCCACCATGGCACCAGCCAGCCCTTGGTCCCTAACTTTTCAGTACACATAGAATGCTACATGGTTTTAAAATGGATAGGATGCTATTTGTCATCATTAAGAATACTAAAATTCATCAGTATTACTCTGTACCCAAAACTGTTTATACTATAGTGATTTATGAATAAGTTAAAAGATAAACAAAGAGTGAGTGATAGGAACAAAAACAATGGGAGAAAGAGAATTGCCTTGCTCGGTTGCCGGCGGACGGGTTCAGCTCTGCGTTCACGTTAATACTGCTTCCAGTCTCAGCGCCCGCGGTTCTAACGTAAGGCTTCCTTCCTGTTGCCGATAAAGGCTTGTTCACTGCCCCGAGCACTCCAGTAGGCTTTGGCTGAAATCCACACACACAAGGTACACGCGTTATTTTATACTTTACTGAAGAAACACACATGAAGTCAGACACAGGTAAAAGACACTGTTTAGTCTGGACTCGGGGTGTCTGTTATCTTGGAAAGCGAAACCCTAAGTTTCTTAGAAATTCTAATGCTGTAAGGTATGTCCGGCTGACTTAATACAGTTAACATCCATAAACATTTTCTGTACTTGGTAACTAGGCAATATTTACTATTCCTTATTAATCAAAATACGAAGAGCTCTCGTAACAGTGAGATACAGAATTACAGGTCTTAGGAAGCAGCTGTTGGATGTACATAGTGACACTTACAAACCTTGCCAAAAATGCCATTTCCCTTGCTCTTTCAGAGGTATCATTAGTTTTATAGAATATAACAATTATTAGTACTTCAACATTATTTTTCTGTAACTTCTATATCTAAGATCACTGCGTCATAGGAGAATCTGCTTTGTGTATCGTAACCAAGTCAAAGCTTATCGGTCCTTCATGGCGAGACAAAGTGCGAGAGAAGGCCTCTGCGGGTGCGGCAAACACGGGTCCGCCAACTCTGGGAAAACCATCCTGGGGAGACGCTGCAAGGCCCCTTCTGGGGAGAGCAGTTGTCAGAGTTCTGGAATGCAGAGCTCAGAATTATCGAGCACATCATACCTTTCCCGTTAACAGAAGCACTCTCGTCTCTTCTGAAATGTAACTCTTGTCATTAGAGAAATCCTATTAAAAATAGAAAATAATGAACGTTCATATTTTTATTATCCAAATAAGACCTTTGAGGCATTGCGCCTTATAACAACAGTTACGTTTATGTTAAATATATGTCAACTCATGAAATAAAGAGCCGGACCGTGACTCTAGCTTTCAACCAAATCACTCACACCCACGACATAACCCAATGTGCCAAGGGTCTGACAGGCTTGAGGCTGGGAAGAAGGGGGTGTGGCATGACCGAAGCTTGTGGAAGGGGATCATCTCTCTCTCAAGTGTGTGCACGTTCTCTCCAAAGAAAATAGGGGGCTGGGGAGCAGCTGATGGAGTGGTGGTTAAGGTGCTAAACTCCCACTTGGCGACCATGATTTGAGTGCAGGACCTGGCATCTTGCTGTCTCACTCTCTCTATGGCGAGTACGTGCCCTATAGCAAATTTAAAGAGAGAGAGAGAGAGAGAAATAGAGAGAATAAGTAGTTATTTTTAAAAAAGGAATAAAGGGGGAAATAAAAAAGTTGAGATCATTAGGTGTAGTGACAAATAGCAACTTTTTTAAAAAAAAGAGTTAGCCCTTAACCCCCACACCACCTGCCGGTCCTGCAACTTAATTTTTGATGATGGCATCACCAATGTAGAGATTCTATTTTGGTACTATGCCAGTCGTGATGGCCTTGGGTCCAGAGTAAGAGGGTCGCACATAGGGCCACACAGCGGCAAGGCATTAGTGCACCTGGCTCTCCACACCAACAGAACTGGGCTCCCTCCCAGGACCTCCCTGTGCAGGACTGGCCTGGCGCACGAGTGGGACTGGGCTAAGGCCAGGAGGAGAGCAAGGTGCAAGTCGCTCTGGCTCTGGCTCTGATTGAAAACAATAAATTTGAGGGAACCAGCAGTTAGCGTAATGGCTATGTCGCTGGACTCCCACGTAGTTGACCGCGGTTCGCGTCTCGGACCCGGTGGCTTAAATCTCACACTGGGCGCATGTGCGTGCGTGCCCAAGATCCCAAGAGGAGAATGGAGGAGCAGGGACTGCGGTGTGACCATATCCTCTGGGGGGGGGTGTGATTTCTCGCTTTTTGTCTCTATGTCTCTGTCTGTCTGGCGAGCGCACGCGCCCTATAGCGAAAACCTCTCCAAAAAAAAAAAAAAACAAAAAACAAAAAACAATAAATTTGAAACATGAACTTTAAAAAAGGTAAATTTAAATGTAAAAGTTCATATAAGAATATTTAATAAAGGCCAGCAGATTCGATTAGAGAGCAATTCTTATTATCACTAACAAGAAAAGCAACTTGGCGGCCATCAGGTGGCGTGCTGGACTCCCATCTGGCTGACCATGGTTCAAAATGTGGACCTGGCAGCTTGCTTTCTCATGCCCCTGCCCCCCTCCACCCCTGTCCTGTCTCTCTCTGATCGAATTGAAATAAATACAAACATAAGTAAATTTACGTAAAATACTAATTTAAAAAGAAAGAAAAGCAAGTTGGACCAGAAGATGGCATGACGGTTACGTCATGGGACTCCCATGTAGTTGACCACGGTTGGAATCGTGGACCCAGTGGCTTAAAACTCATGCTGAGTCCATGTACATGCGTGCCCCAAATCCCTAGAGGATAAGGGATTGCACTGTGGCCATCCCCCTGAAGGGTGATTTCTTGCTTTCTGCCTCTTTATTTCTCATGTGAGCACACCTGCCCACAGCAAAAACCTCTCTAAAAAAGAAGAAAAGCAAGTCACAGTAAATCTGTAATACTGAACCAACTGGTAAAGAGTAAAGTAAGTAAGTTCCTTGTCCTGGAATATTTTTTCCAGATTACTCTAAAGGGGTTATTGCTCTAAGGCGTATTTATAGGTGTTAAAATACACAAACATCTTTTTAATGGTATAGTTTATCCAACTTATTTTAAGAGAGATTTTTGCTATAGGGTACATGTACTCACCAGAAAGAGAGAGAGAGTGAGAGAGAGAAAGTGAGAGAGAGAGAGTGAAAAATCACTCCTCCGGGGAGGTGGCCATGCCGCAATCCTTTCTTCTCCATTCTGTTCTTGGGCAGGTGTGCACATGCACCCGGCCTGAGTTTTAAATCACCAGGTCTGGGACTCGAAACAAAGTCAACTACCTGGGAGTCCAGTGACATAACCATTATGCCACATACTGGTCCCCTAAATTTTCTTTTTTTAAACAAATCACAGGAAAGTTGAACAAATTTTGAAAAAAAATATCACCTAATAGCAAGGAATAAATAGAAGAATTAATTTTAAGTATTATATGTACTGATTTTATTTATCATTATTATTTAAAAATTTGATACAGGGCATGTGCACACACCAGAGCAAGACAAAGGTGGGGAAAAGTGAAAAAGCAAGACGTCAGGTCCAGGACTCAAACCACAGTTACCCATGTGGGAGTCCAGTGCCTAAACCACCACACCACCTGTTGGCCTCAATATATGTATGTACATACGGATCCATGTATATATGTATGTATGTATATGTATGTCCCTCTCTCTCTCCACATATATATATATATATATTTCCCCCCCCCCAATTTGCTAGAGGGTATATGTGCTTCCCAGAGAGAGACAAAGAGAAAGAGAGAGGGAGAGGGAGAGAGAAAGAGCGTTCCCTGGGCGGAGGGTGGGGCAGGGTATGGCAAGGGCCCTGCTGCACCCCTTCCCCATTCTCCTGTGAGGATCCTGGGCAGGCACGCATGCCTGCCCCTGACATGACCTTCAAGCTGACACATTCAGGACTCAATCTGTGGTTGGCCACATGGGAGTCCAGGACCTTAACTGTTATGCCACCTGTTGGACCCCAATAAAAGATATTTTTTAAAACTTCTAAAAAAACGGGGGCTGGCAAGTGGCAGGGTGGTTAAGGGTGCTGGATTCCCGTGTGACTGACTGTGGTCAACATCCTGGACCTGGTGACTTGCTTTCTCGTTCTCTGATCAAAATAAATAAATAAATAAATAAAGTTCAATAAAATAATAGTAATTATTTTTTTTTAGAAAAAACAAAAACTTTTAAAAAAAATCCAAATTAGCTACAAAAACTTAGTTTGGGATTTCAAAAAAATTTTTTTTTGAAAAAAAATTATTCAGTCTCCATAATGACTTTTAAAAATCACCAACACTGACTATACTGCAAGTCATCATGTTGGCATCCCCTCTGTGTCTGCCTCTCCCTGCACTTCTCCTGGGAGAGTGTGCACCCTAAAACAAAAACCTCCTAAAAAAAAAAAAAAAAAGAAAGAAAGAAAGAAAGAAAATTACACAAGGAGAGTGCACGCATGCGTCCAAAGTACCAAAAACAGAAGGGAGAAGGGGTTCCAGCGTGGCCATCCCGAGGGGCAGGTTGGGGTGACTCTTCACTTTCTCCCTTCTATCTTCTAAAAGTGCGCGTGCCCTATGGCAAAAACTTACAAAAAGACGAGCTCAAAATAATTTAAAAAAATCCAAAAACTCCTCTTAGACCAAAATATCCAGAAGAAACAAAAGAACAATGAGAAGCTTGATTTATATTTTCCCTCTCGGGTGTGAATGAGAATGTGCAGCGCTTTGGAAGACAATCTCCTATTGCTCAGTAAACACAAAGGTATTTTTCATTGTGTACCCAAGACAACCCAATACTTTTTACTTGGTTTGATATGGTAACTGAAATTGAAACCAGTTTACTGTGCTAGCAAGAAGAGGAAAAGAGAATTACCTTTTCGGGTTGTGTGAAGAATTTCATTGGGAGGACTGGGTCCTTTGGTGAATCTGCATTGCACAAAGCACTTTTACTATTTATAACACAGAGAGCCACATCGCATACTGTATAAAGTTTCTAGGGAACACAAAAGAAAGATTATAAATGACTTTAGTATTGCAAAATATTTTCAAGTATCAGCTGCACCAAAAGTATAAATTTCAGTTAATGGAGGATATGAGGTTATAATTTATTCCTTGAACGTTTTATATTTCCATTCTATTGTTTTTAAAGAAAAACCTCTCAAGGCCAGCAGGTGAGGTGGTGGTTAAGGGTGCTGGAACCTCATGTGGCTGATCAAGGTTTGAGTCCCAGAGCTGGCAGCTTGCTTTCTCACAACCCTCCCCTCTTTCTCTCTCTCTCTGATCAAATTAGAAAAGAAAAATTGAATAATTTTTAAAATAGAATGATTTTCTTTAACTTATTTAAATTTGACCAGAGTGAGACAGTGAGAAAGCAAGCCGCCAGGTCTGGGACTTAAGCCATGGTTGGCCATGCGGGAGGTCCAGTGCCCTTAATCACCATTCCACCTGATGGCCTCGAGATTAAATAAATTCTTAGAAAAGGAAAGCTCTTTCTACCTTAATTTAACTAGAATCCTACATGTACATCAAAAATAATAAACCAATCAACCAAAGAAAGAACACAAAATGAATATCTATTTTTTTGTAATTCTTACCAAAAGGTGATAAGGTAGAATAGTTGTAAATTTTAACAGTTCTTACTGTTACTCTTAACTTTTCAGAAGTATTTTTTTTTTAAAGAATTATTTTATTTAACAGTTCATTTAAATTTGCCTGGAGAGGGAGAGAGAGAGAAAGTGAGAAAGCAAGTTGCCAGGTCCAGGAATTGAACCATGGTCGCCCATGTGTCATTCCAGGTTTTCTCAACGACAGTGTCACCTGCCAGCCTCCCTCTGCAGAAATCTTAACTTCTGTTTTAGAGTATTAAGAGATTGCCCACATCATAAAATGTATATGTAATGAGTGGAATGCAGTAACAATTGCTATAAATGTATTTTTAGAAACATTCTACAATCAAAATTATTTTGTAATCGTCAGGAAAAACAAATGGGGCGTGGTTCTGCACATCTTAACCCCTGCCGACCTGCGACTCATCGTACCTCATTTGTCTTGGATTCATCTGGAGACTGGGCATCTCGGGTTAGCTTGATGTTCTCTGCCATCTTCTTCATAAAGGCATGGCTGTTGTTCTCGTTCTTCGTCATTAACACTTCAAGCATGAACCACAGGCACCTAAGTGAGAAACGTACCAAAAAGACTCAGTGCAAGTGTAGATGCTTACTGGAAGTCCTACTGTCTACACGTAACAAGGTAAAAAAAACGAGTAAACAAAACAACCTGAAATCTAATTACTCAGAGATATATTATCCTGTTAATATCTCATTCAAATAAAAATATGAAAAATGAAAGCATAGCTTAACACGAGGAGTCCTAACGGCTTCATAAAGCACCCCCAGCTCACACTACAGGTATCCAATGAATGTTTAGACGATTTAAAGTATCGTAGCACCTTGCAATGAGGAGCAGATCAGATACAGCAGAGAACTGGCATTCTGGCTTCTTCTCCCCCCCCCCCCTTTTTTAGGTTTCTGCCATGGGAGAGGGACAGAAAGGGAAAGTGAGAGATCATTCCCTGGGGGATGGCCAGGCCTTTACATTCTCCTCTCAGGATTCTAGGCATGCACACAAATAATTTTGACGCTGCTGATCTGAGACTAGAACCACGGTCAGTTATATGGGGAGTCCAGTGCCCTAACCACCACACGCCTGCCATTTTTAAGTGATTCACAAGGCACCCCCGACTACTCTAGAGCAATACATAAGGTCTGTGATCGCTCCTCCTTTCTGTCCAGGGACAAGCCCGAACTGCATGCACTGAGAGGCTGAGGCGTGCGGGAACCAGGCTTTCATCTACAGTCACAGCTCAAAGTGCTGGTCCGCTTTCTACTTGTCACTAGATACTCATTTAACACAAATTCTCCAAAGAAAACACTTTGATTTCTAAGTCACGGTGACTCACAAATATGGGGGTGATCAAATCGACAACTCTGGGGTGGAGCCTGTTTTAATAAACCCCCAAGATGGTTTCCAGGTAATCAGTCTACTACGCACCCCATCAGCAAGGGAGAAACTGTCGGTAACCTATGTGTACTGCTTTGCCTATATTCAACGTAATGCTTTGAAAGACTACTCAAACAAGAATTACTTATTGGGGCTGGCAGGTGGTGTAGTGGTTAAGGAGCTGGACTGCCACGTGGCCAGCGGCGGTTCGAGCCCTTGACCAGCAGCTTGAAACACACCAGGCACGTGTCATGTGTGCCAAAACCCCAAGAGGAGAAGGATTGTGGTGTGGCCACATGCTCTGGGGGTGATTTCTCTCTCTCTCTCTCTCTGTGTCTCTGGCAAGAGCAAATGGATGCTTTTTTTGAGAGAAAGATTTTTACTATAAGGTGCATGTTCTTGCCAGAGAAAGACAATAGAGAAATCAACCCCCAGGAGGAGTGGCCATGCTGGAATCCCTTCTCCTTCATTCCTCTTGGGATTTGACTCACACACACACACACACACACACACACACACACACACACCAGGCGCTATGCCTGGGACTCAGCTGCTGGGTCTCGGATTCAAACTGCCATCCAGGACATTTGAACTCAGTACCTTAACCACGATCCCACTTACTGTCTCCTGTGTGCATATTTTCAAGGTATTATCTTCGGCAGTGAGGAGAAAAATTTAGTTTTAAGGAGGGAATTTTTTATTACATGGCTTTCTAAATTGCCTAGCATATCAAACTGATGTAATGGGGGCCACAGATAGAGTAAGGGTCACACTGCTGGACTCCCACATGGCTGACTAGGGTTTGTGTCTTGGACCTGGAGGCTGGAAGCTCATACATGTGTGCGTGCCCAAGATCCTGAGAGGAGAATAGAGGAGAAGGGATTGCAGCGTGGCCATCCCCGCTACGGAAAGATTTCTTGCTTTCTGTCTCTCCGGCAAGTGTACACGCCTTATGACAAAAATCTCTCTAAAAATAAACAAATAACAAAAATGGAAATAGCCAAACTAACCTATTTTATAGACTTACAGAATTACCTACAAACAGGAAACAAAGAAAATAACCAATAAGAACTTGTTGAATGGGAACAATGTGTAGAATTTACAATAAATAAAGGTTATTTTCATAGCAAAAGTAACAGGAAAAAAGTATCCTTTGGTAAAGTAAAAATATGTTTACATTCTGGGAGAGCAACGTCACTTACTCTTTGATGTCACGAAGCTGATCGACATCTTGGGATCTGGTGAAATCTGGATCGTGGGCTAGCAGGTGGATCATGTACGGGACTACATACTCAGGCAGCAGTGAGAGCAACTTCTCTAAAGGGAAACAGTATTAACGACAAAAGCAGCTCTCAGAAGATGTTCTCCTAGGTTCAAGTTCTCACAACTTCAGTAACCATTTCTTCCTCAGTTACTTCTAAATTAGAGGCACCACACACAAAATGCTTTCATCTCAATGTTGAACGATAAAGGATAAAGCCAAAATTGTAGAATGATTTACCCAGCAGGTGTGTGACAAAGTTACAAACAACGACCTGCTCTGACATCTGATCAGTACGTTTAACTCGCACCACACGGCCGACCCTGGGAGTAAAGTGCAGCTGTCCACGTCGTACGCAGTGTAAAGAGGACTCGGAAAACGGCACTTCGGTGTCGAGTCCCTCCTAACCATAATGGCCGCGCTCTGTAAAACCCCAGCTCTGTTACTAACTGTAATAGAACCCCTGCGAGCTGGCGCCGGCACGCAGCCGTGCACTCGGGGAGCGCGGGCCCACTCACCGGTGGCCATGGGGTTCTGCTTGATGTACTCCCGGCGGATGCTGATGTTCTTCAGCAGGCACTGCCGAGCGTGCGCCCTCCGCTCCTTGACAGGGTCTTTGGCACACAAGGCAAAGATGGCCATGTACTCCAACGGGAGCAGGAGCTTCACCAGCGCCTTGTGCAGCTTCTGGGCGAATATCTGCCTCACTTGGTAACACTCATCCTGCAGCAGCACAAGACCACAAGTACTCACGTAAAATTCCAGCAGCTTCGAAACAATGGCGAGACCTCCTATTTTAGATTTTTTAATGGCAAATATTTAAATACAAGGAACAGTTCAGGCATTTTTAGTACTTTTATTTTTAAAGACATGGTAAGTATATTGGGAGATAAATGAATGTGTGCAAAATGTCTCAATAGGTAATAAGAGCAATTCTTCTTGTGCATTTGTTCATCTAATAAATGGATGTGCAACCACATAAAGTAAATGCGTTTGACTTTGAAGATAAGTAATGGACAAAAACGAGGGTGCTACTTACATTAATAACAAGCGCACAGAGCTGAAATTGTTCTGGGGTAATAATTTCGTGGTAGCAAGGCTCCTGAGCAAGCTTCATTATGGCACTACCAGCAGCTAATCGCAAGCGAGACATATCAGATTTACTATAAACAAACAAAAAAGAAATAAACATTTCCTATAACCATTATCATTCACGAAAAACGCTTTGAGCCCTCTTTGAGTATAAGGTCATTCGGAGGGGATCACTTATTCTTAAACTGACATCATGTGTAAATACAGGAAAGCTACGTGGAGTTCACGAACTCAGTGCAAGGAAAGAAAAGAAAGGCTTAAATCACTGTGCCTTTCGGATAATAAACTGCCTTTATTCCTCTTTATCCTGTGACGCCCTCTAACATAGCCAAGGAACTTCCGCAAGTTAACTAACCTAAATGCTGTGAAGAGCCACATATAGCAGAACAGTACTTCTGAATGACGGGGAATGAGTATTCATTTTAGAAAAGTTGATTAAAAAAAACACACACACACACACACACACAAAAATTAAAAATCACCTATCACCATTGAAATCTATTTAATCCAGGACTTCTATGCATAATACGTATGTAGCAGGAGGCTAGCGTGATCCTATACGTGCCTCATGAAATGGTGAGGCACCGTTAGGAGGGAAAAGGTACTACCTCTCCCTTCAAGGAGAAGACAAAGGTAGAAGCCAGCCTCTGTCTAGGTACTAGCCCCTGGAGTTTGCTTCCTTTTGCAGAATGACATTTGCAAAGAGAACAGATGAGGGCTTGGCACTCCCACCCAGTCCATAGTTTTATTGATTTATTTTTTTGGAGAGGTTTTTGCTATAGGGTGCGTGCGCTCGGCAGAGAGACAGAAAGTGAGAAATCACCCCCTCAGAGGGAATGGCCATGTTGCGAGCCCACAGTCAGCTACGGGCTTCCAGCACTGCAGTTCAACAGCGAACACCTGCAGCACTGAGGCTGAACTTATCAATGATATTACTATTTTCTTAAGAGGGCCACGCTGTAATCCCGTCTCCATTCTTCTCTTGGTATTTTGGGCACACACATACACCAACCCAGCGTGACTTCAAGTTGCCAGTTCGGGGACTCCGACCTCCAGCAACGAAACAACGTTGATGCCACCTGTAGGTCCCATCACTGAGGTTTTTATTCCTCGGATGGTACTCAATTCACTCTACGTGTTCAATTAGGTAAGAACATGGTAAGTTCCTTCAAGGCAAGGAGTGGTCTTGTCTGTTTTTGTTGTAATGCTTTTGCAATATTTTGCGAAGATCAGGATTTTAACAAAATATTTTTTAATTAACCGAAATGTTGATGCTATCTATAATGTTAGACTATAGAGATTACAATTAAAATTACTGAAAAAGTTCACTTCACTCATTAAAAGTTTAAAGAACAGGGGCTGGTGGGTAGCACGGTGGTTGGGCTGGCTAGACTCGTACAGCTGATCGCGGTTTGGGTCCCAGAACTGGCGGCTTGGTTTCTCACTTTCCTTCTGTCTCTCTCTGGTCAACTTAAAAAATAAAATGACAATGAATAAAATTAAATAATTCTTTAAAAAAATTTTTGAGCATTATTAAAATGTAAACAGTATAAGAGATATAAACTCCAACTAAGTACATAAGATTTCACCCCAAAGCAGGTGGTGCCATTACACAGTGTAACGTAGGTAAACTCAACCAAAATTTTTGAGGTATGAAAACTGAATAGGGAAAAAAACCCTCACCTGATCCTCTTTTGCTCGGTGAGGTCGCCCTCACTGACCAGCATTGCCGACAATAACCGGAGAGTTGAATTGGCAGATTTAGACTGATTGTTCTTCATCCCCAGCAACCATCTTACCAGAAGCTTAATCGCCTGTACCTGCAAAACATTATTATTTCGAAAAAAGAAATAATATAATTAATTATAATTCTAATTAAAGGGGAGATCAATTTTGTTAATTAGATCAAAGAGATCATCAGCTGGCATGTCTTATTTTTTAAAAAAGAATTATTTTATTCAACATTATTCATTTTAATTTGACCACAGAGGGAGGGAGAGAAGGAGCGGAAAGGAGAGAGAAAGAGAGAGAAAGTGAGAAAACAAGCCGCCAGGTGTCGACTTGAACTGTGGTCAACCATGTGCGAGTCGCGCACCCTTATCCACCACACCACCTGCTGGCCCCTGGCATGCCTTATTAAACAAGTCTATAAGAACAGTGACAACAGGAATTAAAATGTAATCTGTGTTAAATCTGCCCAGGCCCTGCTCCAGGGCCGCACGAGCATGGCAGCCCCTCCTCCTCCCGTAATGGCTAACCTGTTTAAAAACCTCTGGGTCTTATGACCAGGTCTCAAGCCAGGGGAAGCCCCTTTCTCAGTCTCTGTGTCATTCCCACAGTCGGTATTTACTCCATGAAATGTCTGCCAACATGCAAGGCTGTGTATTTTGTTTATAAATGTGTACTTTATGGTATACCCATAATAGTATTCAAAGTAAGTCAAAATGATTATACCAGATTTATATTATTGGGCTGTATCGGGTGGTTTTTCTGGAGCTTAAATAACGTAGGCTCTCTGTATGGCTAGAACGACATTATTCTAGTGTGGAGCCACAGGATACGTGTGTGTGACCATGTATATATATGTATGTACACACACACACACACACACACGTATATATACTTTTTTTTAAAAGACAGATTTTTGTTATTGGGTGCATGTGCTCACTGGAGTGACAGAAAACAAGAAATCACCCTTGAGGGGGATGGTCATAGTGTAATCCCTTCCCCTCTATTCTCTTCCTGGGATCCTGGACACGGACATTCATACACACACACACCCAGTGTGACTTTTAAGTCACAGGGTCTGGGACTTGAACCATGGTCAACTATGTGGGAATCCAGTGATGTAACCATTACAGCACCTGCTGGTCATTGCCACATGACATTTTTACAAGGACATACCGTATGGTGCCACAGCATACCTGGGACACCTGCCTTTAAGCTCCTTATTGACAAGTTCACTTAATGTCCTAGTCGTAGGAACAGAAATCTTTCATTAACTGAGGAGTGCCTTTACTTTCTTTAATCTCCCAGATGAAGAAGAGGGAGATTTTCTTCTCCTATAGGAGGCATGTGTGACCAGAGACAGGGAGACAGAAAGCGAGAAATTTCCTGGGGATGGCCTTGCTGCAGCCCTTTCTCCTCCATTCTCTATGGATTTGGGGCACATACGCACACGTGTCTGGTGAGAAGTTGATGGCGCTGGCATGAGTTTCGGTCTGGTACCACACCACGGTAGACCTAGCGAAAATTTAGCGCCTTAAACGTGATGTCACCTGTGGGCTCTGTGGGAGGTACTCTTACTTCCAACAGGTGAGACCTTTCAGTATGGCACACAACTTGTTCGAGTTCTGGCTCCAGGACTCAGACTTTTCACACTTAAACGTATGTTCAAGATTGCATAATTATTTGAAGATACACGATTTTGGTGTCTGGCAGGTGGCATGGGGGTCAAAAGTGCAGGCTTCCCACAGGGCCTACCACAGTTCCAGTTACTGACCTGGTGGCTTCCTTGCGTGCTTTCCCTCTCTCTCTCTCTGGTCAAATTGAAAAATAATAACAACAAATGGAATTAAATACATAAATAATGATTAAGAACAACAAAAGAAAATATATGATTTAAAAAATAACTAGTTAAACTGTACTGATTATAGTCATTAAAAATAAGTGCTGGGGGACCAGGAGTTGGCATAATGGCTATGTCGCTGGACTCCCATGTCATCAACAGTGGTTCGAGTCCCGACCTGGTGGCTTAAAACTCACACCGGGCGAGTAAGCGTGCGTCCCCAAGATCCCGAGAGAATGGAGGAAAAGGGATTGCGGTGTGGCCATCCCCCCCCCCCCTGGGGGGGGGTGATTTCTCACTGTCTGTCTGTCTGGCTCTCTCTCTCAGGTGAGCGCACATGCCCTATAGCAAAAACCACTCCCACCCCCCTCAAAAAAGGGCATATTAACTTTATTTTTTCTAATTAGATACTATAAAAATTCCTTTTTTTTTAAAAACACATTCATCTATTTTCACTTGATCAGAGAGAGAAGGACAGTGAGAAAGCAAGTAACCAGATCCAGGACTCAAACTGTGGTTGGCCATGTGGCTGTGTCCAGCACCTTAAGCACCACACAACTTGCTGGCCCCGAAGCATTCCGTTTTTCAAGAAAAAGATGATCAAGATCTATACAAATTTACCTTTGCAAGTACTTCAGGGGAGACCTCTTCATCTGGAGACCATAATTTCCCATTTTTCTCACCTGTTGACTATAGATAATTGAATATATTTAGTTTTTAGAAAGAATTATTTTATTTAACGTTATTATTATTTTTAAATATTTCCGAGAGAATGGAGGAAAAGGGATTGCGGTGTGGCCATTCCCCCCGGGGGAGGGGGCGGGGGGGATGACCAGAGACAGACAGAGTGAGAAAGACAGAGAGAGGGAAAGCGAGAAAGCAAGCCACAGGTCAAGGACTCAAACTGTGGTCGGACATGTGGGAGTCCAGTGCCCTTAACCGCCACGCCACCTGTTGGTCTCAAGAAAGAGAATTTTTAAGGTTTTTGTTGATTACTTTTTTTATGCTGAGCAATGTAGAGTCTGGGACATCTACAGCAAAGTCACCAAGTAGAGCTTGGAGAAGAACAAAGTGGAAGACATTTTCCCACATTTCGACCTCACTATTACCTACCGTAACTGAGATAGAAAAACAAGGGTAAACATGTAGATGAAAAGAATAAAGTAAAGAACCTAGAGCACCCTTGCACCTATAGTCACTTCGTATTTGACAAGGGTGCTGAGATCAATCTTAAGGGAAAAAGTCTCTTTGACGAATGGTGCTGGAAAAACTGGACCTCCACAAGCAAAAGAATGAAGCTGAACTGTTACGCCGTACATAAAAAAAAGCAAGAATAGACACAAAAGTATTAACTTAAAAACTAAAACTACAAGACATTTAGAAGACGATGTAAGAAAGAATCATGATCTTGAATTTGACAAATTTCTGACGAAGGTTTAATATCCAGAAGCAAGGGAAATATATACATGGCTAGTAAGCACATCAAAAATGACCTTCGACATCATTATCCATTAGGGAAATGCAAATAAAAATCACAACAATTACCGCCTTGCACCCAGCAGTGTGAGTACCACCGAAAAAGGAAAACAGCAAGTGTTGGCAAGGGTACACAGAAACTGGAACCCGCATGCATTGATGGTGGAAGTGAAAAATGGTAAAGCTAGTGTGGAAAGGGGTCTGGTGGTTCCTCAGAAGGTCCACACAGGATGACGATGTGACCCTTGAATTTTACTCCTAGGTATATACTCAAAAGATCAGAGAACAAGGACTTGATATCCAAGGAAGTAGTATTCACAACGGCCAACAGGTAGAAAAAACTAAGGCCCATCAGCAGGGACAGGTAGGTAAAATGTAGGCTAGCCATAGGGTGGGCTATTATCCAGCCGGAAGTTACTCAGGCCGGCTCATCTCTCAACATTACAGTTAAGGTGGCGGGTGGGGCAGGGCAGACAAGGGTCTTTCTTTTTCACGTTCTTGGATCACAGAAAAGGTTAGGGTAAGATTTGGGTTAAGTTAGATTTGTAAGTTAACAGTGAATTCAAAATAATTCCTGATGATTCAGCACATAAGAATGGTTTGTCTCCATTCAACAATCTTTAATTCATATCCATTTGGTAAAGTAATGACACAGAATCAGGATGTGTTTTAGAAATCACTGGGGAACATTTTCAGTCTACATTCCTGAGTTTCAACCCAGAGGTAACACACAACTTTAAGTCTGAAATAGAATACATAAATCTTGTGCCAAAAGTACAATAGAGGGACCAGCAGATGTCACAGGAGTTATGTTGCTGGACTCCCACATGGCCGACTGTGGTTTAAATCCCAGACCTAGAAGCTTGAAACTCACGCCAGGTGTAGGTGTGTGTGTGTGTGTGTGTGTGTGTGTGTGTGTGTCCCCAAATCCTGAAAAGAGAATGGAGAAGGGAATGTGGAGTAGACATCCCTGCTGGGGGATGATTTCTTGCTTTCCATCTCTGTCTTTCTCTCTAGCACACAGACATCCCTATGGTAAAAATCTCTTTAAAAACAAAGAAACAAAACAACAATTTTATTGGGTCTTTGGGAAAGTCATGATGCATTTCGGCATAGAAAAATGTCACGACTTTCCGAATGACCTAATACATTCCAAAAAAACTAACCAAATTTAAGTACACTTATATTCTTGACAATGTTTGATAAAATCAAAAGTCCAGCACTCAGAAAAAAGCCAGTATCTTTCAAGATCAGGATGATGACATTTGACTGTCACAACTGGATCTGAATCATGGAGTCAGCCACGTGGGATCCAGCCACCTTAACCACAAGGCTGTGGGCTGGTCCTTGAGTATTTGCTTTTTTTTGTTTTTGTTTTTCTGGGTCAGTCTGTAGGTGTCTTTTTATTCAAACTTTATAGCATCTTTTCAGACCTCTACTTAAAGAATAAAATGAATCATTAAACATCTTTATTATATACAGTAAGGTTTTTTTTTTTTTTTTTTTGGAGAGGTTTTTGCTACAGGGCGTGTGCGCTCGCCAGACAGAGAGAGACAGAAAGTGAGAAATCACCCTCCGGGGGGATGGCCATGCCGCAATCCCTTCTCCTCCATTCTCCTCTCGGGATCTTGGGCATGCACGCACACGCGCCCAGCGTGAGTTTTTTTAAGCCACCGGGTCCGGGACACGAACCACAGTCGACTACGTGGGAGTCCAGCGACATAGCCATTACACTAACTGCTGGTTCCCTATATAGTAAGGTTTTTCAAAGCATGCATGCATAGCATATTAGTCAAGTCAAGGATACCACCATAAGTGATTGCCCCTCCAATTTCATTTTTAAACTAAGTTCTGAGCCAGCCAGGTGGATTGGTGGTTAAAGTGGTTGGAGCCCACATGGCCAGCTGTGCGGTTCCAATCCCAGACCCAGCAGCTCAACGACATGATAGGTGTGTGTGTGCATGACCAAAATCTCGAGAGAGTGGGGGAGAAGGGACTGCAGTGCGCTCATCCCTCGGGGGTGATTTCTCACTTTCCCTCTCGCCTTGGCAAGCACGCATGCCCTGGAGTACATTTTACAAAGTTAAATTCCAGTGATAACTACAGAAGTCAAGAAGTTATTTGTAAATCTAATAAATAAATAAGGAGAGTCAATATAAAATAATTTAAAAGGAAAAGAAAAGTACAGCGAGAAACAGAAAAGATATTCCTGTGATCAGAATGTAAGTAGGCTTTAGTCCCTTTATTCTAAATTCTATTAAATGAGAAACTTACCCTGTCATTCATCAGTAGGTCTTTCACAATGAAGTTTGCTACTACAGATTTCATAGGGGAGGCAAACTGATCTGGGGCTAGCATTGAAATGTGGCCCAGTGAGACTAACGGAGTTATAAGCTGCTCCGGTACGTCCGCATTCAGACTCCTGCTGAGTGGCTGTAAAAACAGAACAGACAAAATGACCAGTTTGTTTCATGAATGTCTAGACATTCTAAGGAAATAGTAAATTCTCCTGAGTCCTTCTGAATCTATGACGCCCATACCAGCATTTCAATAATATGATTGTAAGTATCTAACTTCAACCACAGTAAACATTCAGTCTCAATTCATTGATCATAATTTAACAAGATTGAATGTTAAAAAAAAAAAGTTCAAAAAGAAAATAGAAGTAGGAACAAGAACAGTTCTGCTTCATCGAATCAACATTATTTTCAATCTGTCTGCAACAGGTTCACTATGTTGGTGGATTTCCTAGCGGTGGGGACCTTTTGGGCGACCTTGAATCATGAAAAATTAAGGGTGCGCTGGTTTCTGTTCTTATTATCTGCAATTCATGATGATACAGCTGCGCTGCTAGCAGTTGGATCGAGCCAAGGATCACACAGAAAGGGAGACTGGTCAACCGTCAGGCAGAGCTGCCACATACTTTAAGCCACCGTTCAAAGGTATCAATACTGTCTGAGAATCCACAGACCACCGAGCCAATAAGGCTCAAATGAAGTAAAATGCTGTAATACAAACACAGAACCTGATCTAAAGGCTGGGAATAGTGTTAAAGCAAAACCGATAGAATTCCTGCACCCAAGAAATTCATATTCCATGACAGGACTACTAAAAAAAAACCAAAGTGAAACAAAACAAAAAAACCCTAGCTTCCATTTTCATCAAATCACAGAACTGAAAATAAAAAGACCAGCATAAGCACATCCTATGTATTACACATACCTCAAAGATCTGTGCGAGCTGGACTTCTTTGTTGGTGAATATGGCGTGTATACAGTGGACAGCCTGTTTTGCTTGGTGTGGAGTACCCCGCTTTGCTTTTTGATGTAAAATGGGTATTAAGGTCCTACAGAAAAGGAAGGAAGGAATGAAGGAAAAAGAAATCGCTTTTATTATTTTCGCCCATAAACTACAAGTATTCTTTTGGTGATTTCCTACTGTCCCTATTGACATATATGCTAGTGGAGAAACCTCCCTTAACAACGATCTCATCGACAGAAATATTTAAAGCTACTTCTCTGTCTCCAAGTATGAAACAAAAAAATGCAATGCCTTAATAAAGAGGTTACTGGGGCCAGGTAGATACTTCTGTGGTAGGCAGACGGAGGGATCCCACTTGGCTGTGTATTTTGCACCCCACATCCAGTGGCTTGGAAAACATGCTGAGCATGTGTGCATGCATGCCCAAAATATTATAATGAATATAATACTTATATTTAATCATTTTGTTTGTTTGTTAGAGTGCACATGTGCTTACTGGACAGACAGAGAGAAAGAAAGAGAAAAAGCACCCGCCAGAGTAATGACCTCACCACAATCCCTTCTCTTCCATTTTCCTCTTAAGATTTCTGAGCATGTAAACACATGTGCCTGCTGTCTTTTTCAAGCCGTAGGGTGGGACCACCCAGCTGGGTATGAGAGGTCCAGCTGCCTTAAGCACCTGCAACTTGGCAACCCCATACTTGTGAAGAACACTACTTCTCCTTTTCTCTGGTGGTACAGCAAGGTGGTAGCTACTTTCTAAATTTTATGAATTTATAAACCGATTAGTGAGAAAAAAGAACACAGATTAGAATGATATACAAATCATCAATACTGTATTAATGTGATCTTTTTATTTTTTTTTTTAAATTTCTGCCATAGGTAAGTGTGCTCACCAGACAGAGAGGGAAAGTAAGAAATCACCCCCAGAGGGATGGCCATGCTGCAATCCCTTCTCCTTCATTCTCCGCTCAGGATTTTGGGCACGCACGCACACATGCCAGGCGTGCTGGTCAAGCCAGGTCTGGGACTTGAACCACACAGCCATGCGGGATCCAGCACTTTAACCAAGCCATCTGCTGGTCCCTGGTGATATTAACATCTTAAAATAAGTTCGTTTCAAACAGTTTCAGTTTGTTCCTCTGCCTCATAAGCCAGAGAGGGGTAAGGCACAGGACAGACGACACGAAGGGCTGGTACGGGAATGCAGGGTCCATGTACAGCGTGCTTTTCTCGTCTCCCACACGAAACCATGATCCTATGGCTCCCACATTTAGAAACGATTTACCATGAGAGAAAACATACTCACGATCGTATCTGGGGAAGGTCGGTTTCTATTTTGTGGCCTGTATTTCTAAAAATTTGGATAGCAGCTTCTGCTACCTTGTCATCTTCCATTCGTAGGCACTGTAACAGGGACTCATATGTTTCCGAAGAGTGGAACGAGGTAGGATGTGTGAAAGACAGGACCTAGAGGGACAGACGTGGCTTTAGGAGTACAGACGATGTATTAATCCAGTAAAAGTGAAGGCATGTCCCACAATACATAAAGTGTGAAGACCTGGGTCATACATGTTACCTGCCCGGGAGAGATTACGTCTCCCAGTCTCCTTTGCACTTAGTCGAGGCTAATGAGGCATTAATAGGAATACTGTTAAGTCGCTCTCAGAGACGTCCTTCACGACAGCTGATACCCACCCTTCGCCCTGTTGTCTTCACCTTAGTCTATTCTGCTACTTAAAATATGCTTTTAAAAAAAACCCTCGGGGCCAGCAGGTGGCGTCGTGGTAAAGGGCGCTGGACTTCCACATGGTCAACCGTGGTTTGAGTCCCGGACCCGGCGGCTTGTTTTCATTGTCTCTGTGTCCCTCTTTGGTCTAATATACATACATACATACATACATACATACATACATACATACATACATATA